CACAGGTCACTTTTGTTATGTGTTATTTATATTCATCCATTTAGGATGAGATGTGGTCCTCCCCTGACTTTGAGATCAACTCCTTGCCCATTGCAAAAAAAAAAAAAAAAAAAAAAAAAAAACCATTTTCTGTTCTCACTATTATTGTAATCATTTTTATTCTCCTTCAAAGGTTGTTGCAAACCTTTGAATGCATGATTTTCAACCATTCAAAGAGTTAGACATATGATTAGAAAATATGAGAGAATGTGTTTTTTATGCTAGAAATTAAAGTGCTCATCACTCGATTGATTTTTCAATGCAACGAGTTAATGATTTGGAGTTTGAACTTTTCAATGCACACTTATTATCAACTAGAGTGACTACTAAATTTTAAAATTTTAAAATTTAGACAACTTTTCTCATTTTCATACACATTTTCGCAACCAAGATGAATTCTTGATAAATTGGTGAAACCTTACTTGAATGATTACTAAAATAATATAACAGTTAACAAATTATGACCAAGTGATTTGGTGTCAATTGTCTTTGTAAAATATCATTGTAATGCTTTGTGATACTAATTGTAAATGAATACACCTATCACTGTATTTCTCAAAATACACATGATTCTAAAAAAATGAAACAGATGAACTGTATTCTAAAATTAAAAATATACAGGGTGGAGTAAAGATTCTACAGTAGCAAAAAGTACTGGACCCCGCTTTAGATGATGGCTTGACTTTTCTTCTTTTTTCTATAACACAAGGAAAGAAAAAGGGAGGGTGGTAAAATACATGTGTGCATACTTCATCTTTTTTTTTTTAAATTTTAATTTTTTTTTTTCTTGGTAGAAGTGGTATAGTAGAAGACATAAAAAAAGAAGAATGGTCCAAAATTTTGTGTTCACAGAAAGGTATGGTGCATGAGAACATTTCATATGCATTTTAATTGGGGGGGAGAGGGATATTAAGCTGTGTGTTTGCATTTGTTTGTTTGTTTGTGTATGTGTTTGCTTGCTTGCTTGCTGCAGCGGTCATGGGCATTGCCACTGTCTCACTCTTGTGGCACTAAAGTGGAGGTGGAAATGGTGCTGCAGCAGTAGAAGTAGGAAGCAGGAAATGGAGGGGAATGATCATGATCATGGTGGAGGGAGGCAGTAGTACTACTACTGGAATTGGAAACTCCTCATCATGGGATAAGCTGATCTCTGACTCTTTGCCTGGCAGGCAGCCTAGCCTGACTGAACTGAACCCCCCCACTCCTCACTCCCCACTCCCACCTCTGCTGCGCCCCCAGTACTCTCTCTGAACCCTGGCTGCTGATCCAACTCCACACACCTACAGTAGTAGTATTGGAGCAGAAGCCTTGCAGCAGTGTGCAAGTATCTTTTCAAGTGATGAAGAGCAGGGGAAGGGAGGGAGGGAGCAGGGGAGATATCTATCTACCTGTCTATCACCAGGGTGACTGGGTGGTTGCTTGCTCACTGAGTGAGAGAGAGAGCGAGAGAGATTGAATGAATGATAGAAGGAGAAGAAGACCCCCCCCCCCTGCTTGGTATTAATTCAGAAGGGAAAAGGAGGAGGGAAAGAGGGGAAGCTGAGCACTGCTCCAATAAACTATATGCCTTGCCTGACCTTGACCAGCAGCAGTGGGAGTGGGAGTAGTAGCAGGAGGAGGAGGAGGACAGGGTGTTGCTGTTGTGGTGGGGGTTGTGTTATACCACCTGGCACAGCCTTCCAGGAAGTATGGAGCTGACAGTTACAAAAATGACACTAAACAGAAACACAACAATGCCCCACCGCCACCCCCACCCAATTCTCTCATCACCCCAAGCCAAGCCCAGCCCAGCCCAGCCAAGCAGAACCCTCCCATCCTTTCCCTTTCCCTTCCCATTACAGGGGGAAAATATGAAAGAAAGTGGGGAGTGGAGGGGGGGGGGGGATCTGGCTCTGGCAGGGCAGAGCATCAATTTTCCCTTCGTCCCCCATTCATTCTTTTTTCTCTGTGTTGAGATTGCTCCCCAGCGTAGACTGGATTGGAGCTGGCATTGTGAAAATTGGGGCCAGGGGGGTACCAGGGTGCATTTCATTGTTCTCAGGGGAACAATATCCCTTTAGTTTCCAAGTTGTATCAGAAGCACACCTGTTTTTTTATTTTTATTTTTGTATATTAAAATTCTCTCTCTCTCTGCCCCCCACCAGGTGCCAACTTGGTGGGTTTTCTTTACCCTTGGCTTCTGCATAATCTCATAGGGATGACCTCCTATAGAGGGAACTTGACCCAAGGAGAGTCTGGAGGAAAAAGCCTTGAAGTTTGCAGTAGGCTCATACTGTGCCACCAATTTCTCAAATGCATTGGCACAACATCCAATGCAGGGTTTGAACAGAACCCACCCTCCCCCACATACACACATGGCATGGTCCTTTACTACTTCCAAGGCATTACATCACTTCTTCTGCTCTGTTATCATTAGTATCCCTACTCCAAAGCTTATCCATATGAGGTTTGGCGACTACCTATTTGTGTTCATTTACTACAAGGTTCTCCAATACATAAAAAAATGATGTAAATAATTCACTTCAACTAGCTACTTTTTCATTATTGTTATGATTATAATATCCCTTTTGCTCCAATTTTCAATCCCCACCTGATCAAATCACACTAAAGAGCTTGATTGAGGGTACAATTTTGGCCTTAATACCAGCCACCACCTCAATTTTGTCAACTGGTATCAAACAAACAACCCTTCAAGCTTTTGAGAGAATAAAATCAAGGACAAATCACTTTTTTGTAAGTTAATTGACCCACAGGCATGGAAAGGGGGCAATACTAGATTCATGAAGCCACATGGTCCATGCTTGACAATTAGCTGTATCCTATCATTTGTCTTCTTGATATGAGAGAGCTCAATGCAAAAATCCTCCATCAAAGTCACTCTTTCTTCACCTTAAAATCTTGTACAGTCTATCTACCCTCTCAAAGCCCCCTCCTCTCCTCCCTAGTCCCCCTTCTGTTAACTGCTATAGAATACATATGCTCATCAAGCACTGCACCCCCACCCACTCCTCTCCTGCATAATGTATGGCCTCAGTTCAGGGGATACAATTTCAATGTTGAAGACAAGGTAACCCCCCCCCCCCAAAAAAAAAAAAAGAAAAGAAAAAAAAGACTTGCCACTACAAACTCATATGGGATATCTAAATGCTGGAATTCCCAGCTGGGTTACTTCCAGTCTGGCAGTTAAAGAGAGGGGAAGAATCAAGCAAATCAACAAACAGGCATCATGAGCCTGAGTCCCAACAAGTTTTGATGTACAGTATAATGCTGATGAAAACTGGGAGTACCTTTGAACGTGTACATATATATGCATTCTTTAAAAAATGGGATTGACTAAGTCTGTGGTCAATGAAATGTGACAAGTGTGGCAGTTGGGTCAAAGGAACTTGGAGGTTTAGGACCATAAAAGAATATTTATATGCTGTCTAATTGTATGGAAAGGACTTTTCAGTGATGAGCCTGTTGTAAAGGAGGGTATCCCCCCCCACTTGGACGGTTTTACACAGGCTTTCATAAGAGATTAACTGTTGAACCCTAATTTTCAACTTGGGTGCCAGTTACCACAAGTTGGAGTGGACTGGGGGTTTGTTCAGTTCATATGAATGGGAAAGAGTGGTGTTATGTTCTGTGTGGCCTTTTGGTGCTTTTCACATGTGTGTCCCAAAGTAATCACAAAGATTTATTTATTGCTTTTAAGAGGCAAGTAAAGTTGCTATTTTATTCCTTTTCTATTGATTTTCTTTTTACTATTTTATTTGGTTTTTTCATCTCTGTTGCTCATCCACTGCTGAACAATACAGGCTTTGCCTTGAATGATGTGTACTGCCTGGATGGATACCACACATTGGTGCTGGGATTGGCAAAGCTTTAACACAGTCATAACCTACATATAAATTAATAAAAAGTAAACAGACAGCACCTTGAATTATTCCTGAATATTGCTTCCCATTAACCATGATAAATTTAAATAAGTTCAGAGAATATTGTAGGGAGGACAGTTTCTTATTTGCACAGGCACGTGCTCTCTCTCTATTTTAAGAAATGTGCATATGTACGTATACATATATATATATATATATATATCACTAGGATCAAACACAGTGAAACCAGCATCAGCCTCCTCAAGGTCTCACTTACAGAAAGAGGTTTTGCTCTTCTATTGGCTGTCTACTGCATGTGGGTGTTAGCTCATTACACTAAGCCATGGCACAACATCAGAGATTTCTAACTTCACACAAAGTTGGTGTCTGTGACTTCACAACATGACAAAACTTGCTTCTCATCACACCCAAATCCTCCCTATATTCATCCAAGAGACACATTACAGTGGATAATGTACAGTCCAACAAAACAGAACAGCTTGGCCTAACACACCCACTCTAAATCTCAGAGCATGCAGGTTTGCATTCTTTAAAAAGAACACACTTCATTTCCCACTACAGGCCAAGTTTTGTCCCAACTGGGTTAAAACTTTTCACCCAATGTCCTCTGTCAATGTCTCTCCTTCTCTTTCTTCTCCTTCTTCTTCTTCTTCGTCTTCTTCTTCTTCTTCGTCTTCTTCTATGTGTACAAATGTGAAACAAAACAGCAACAAAGGAAGAGGGAGCATGAGCAAGCAAGCAAGATTGCAGCAGGGTCATAAACTCAACTCACATGGACCACAGGGATCTTCAAGGAACTGTGTAAACCGCTCTCCTCCAGCCTTTGATTGGGGTGAGCCTTGTAACGCTCCAACGGCAGAAGCTCTCAGGCCCGTCCCGCGGTACATGCACGGAGCGAGGGATGGAGGGAGGGCGGGTGAAGAAGTGCAGCAGCGGAGGCGCTTGTCTCCAGTCAGGGATCCGCGCCGCAAAAAAGTCTCGGGGGCCAAGGGGGTGGGCCGCCCGACGGGCCGGGTCGGGCCGCGCTGCCCGGAAAAAGAAAGTTTCGGCCCAATATAGGGAGGTTTGTACCCACGGTGGTTTCACACAGCCCCAGCCCCAGTTGGCCCCACTCGCATCGCAGCCCCTTCGCATCGCTTTGCATTGCAGCCCCCTGCTCCTTTCCTTCTCTAAAGCTCCACTGTTTCTGCGCCTCCTTGCTCTTCGCTCTTTGCTCTGCCGGGATCTTCCAGCTTTCATTCCTTGTGCTTTTCTTCCATGCCTTGCGCTCCTCTGCTTTTTTCTTCTTCCTCTTCTTCTACTTCTTCTTCTTGTTTTCTTGCTGGCCTGCAGCTTCGTTCGATCCCTCCCTGTCATGTGACGTCCTTCTGTTGTGAATTGTTCTCTGCTGTTGGATTGTAAGCGTTTGTGTTGTTGGCGTGTTTGTTTGCGCGTGTCTGTCCTGAGTCCGTGAGTGCAGATTATTATTATTATTATTATTATTTTTTGTGCTGTTGTTGTTGTTGTTACTTGTTGTGATAGTTAATTGTACTTTTATTTTTATTTTGTTGTGTTTTATTTTTTTGGTTCGTCGTGAGGTGAATGTGTCGTTGAATTGAGGCAACGTTGCACTGGATTGCCGTTGTGAAGTGGTGTTGACAGTGTTTCTGGGAGTCGTAGGCTTAGTTTGCGAAGCTCAAGTTGTTGTGGATCCAATAGTGTCGTTCGAGGTTCGAGAAATAGTTGTGTTGAAATCGAAGTGGTGATGGTCCGGGATTGTACTCTTTATCTTCGCTCTTGCCAGCATCTGATCTGTTATTCCTCCTTTATTTGGAGAGTGCTACGTTGAGCTACAGTCAAAGAGGTGTCTATAGTCATACTTTGTTTAGGAGGTTCTGTTCACCAGCTCCGCAATTCGCTGCAAATTCGATCGCTATTTTTCCGCCGCAGTATCTGTCATCAGTATCTTGTTTTTGAAGCATTGATTTCATATTCGCACTTTCAGTCTCGCGGCGGTTTCTTCAATTCTGTTGTCCGTGTCCACTGTGAACAACCTCCTCTCTCGTGCTTTTTCTCCGTCTCTTGCTCTCTTTATATTCAGCCTTCATCCCAATTTTCACGTTCGCAATTCTTTATTTGATAGGTAGATGATGTATCTGGTGCTCATGTAAGATTCTACGACCTTATTTGTTATTCTCAGGGTGTTATACGTCAAATGACGCTTTGAAAGTCTGTAGTAATGAAACTGGAGAGCGTCTTTGATTTTGAAGTATAATCGACGTGAACAATCGGCCGCTCACGACGTAGTTCAGCACCCGGTGGCATGAAGAGGTGCAGCACCAAGGCCCCGCACACAGCTTTGCGATGCAAACACCTTAGTCACTGGAACCTAGGATTATCTTTCACGAGAACTTGCAGCTAGTTGCTGGTATTCCTGAGGGCCTCCACCATCGAGTCCTTACGCAACAAAAATCAGGTATGACATACGGAGGGTCAAGATAGGAGTCATGGACTCTTCCGTTCGAGGATACCACAAACATCTCTGCTGGTAGCATCGTGTCCCCGACAAGTTAAACTAAAAACGCTTCAATTCGGCAGCCAAACTTCATGTCTATGATTTGACTTTTCCACGTCCGTTCCATGTCTACAATCCGCAGCACGCCACCACAACTCAGGTAGCAGTTACACAAAGTCCTGCACAGCTCCGACTCCACTCTGAATACGAATTTGTCTGCGGACCTATCTAAGAGGTCAGTCCAACCATGGCTACTGCATGTCTCCAGGGGCCACAAGGCCAGGTGCAAAGTCAGCATGGAGAGCCATTCTTGCCTCCTGGCTTCCGGTTTCACCCGACGGATGAGGAGTTGGTCAGCTACTATCTGACCAACAAGGTTCTTGACAGCAGCTTTGCTGTTCACGCCATTGCGGAAGTGGACCTCAACAAGTGCGAACCTTGGGACCTTCCTGGTTAGTAAAACTCCGCCTCCTCAAGTTTCCAGAGAAACTATCTCCGAGGAAAGTTAGTGTGACACTTGTAGTTAGTTTACATAGCCATCTCGCAAATACGTGATAGAAAACGTGGAGTCGGTTCTGCCTGTCAATTTCTGGAGTAGAAACGGCTGAAGTGATCTGAAATTTAATGTGGTGTGGAGCGCAGAGAAAGCTAAGATGGGGGAGAAGGAATGGTATTTCTTCAGCCTGCGTGATCGCAAATATCCCACAGGCATTCGCACTAACCGAGCCACAGACGCAGGCTACTGGAAAGCGACTGGAAAAGATCGAGATGTATTTGCACATGGCCGGCCTCCTCTGGTGGGCATGAAGAAGACCCTGGTCTTTTACAGGGGCCGCGCTCCTAAGGGTGAGAAGACCAGCTGGATCATGCACGAGTATCGGCTTGAGGGTGATGGTGGACATTCTCTGTCTCCTCGAGTCAACAAGGTATGCAGCAATTGCCATTTCGCATCCCGTTTACGAACTTGAGCGAGTGCACGTCGCATGTCCGAACATATCTGAATAGATTTTAGGTGTGTTGAGGCAAGTCTCTGCGCCCGAAATATTGAACAACATCGATGTGTTTGTGCTCAGGACGAGTGGGTGGTGTGTCGCATTTTTCAAAAGAATTCTGGAGGGAAGGGAAGTTTTTTGTTCTCGGATTCCTGCATGCGCAGCCATGCGGTGATGTACCAGATTGAGGACACAAGGTCGTCTTTGCCACCAGTCATGAATAATAACTCACCAAACCCAACTGTCACTGATGGAGGGACCTGCACAGATTGCGAGACATGTGCCGGCACTGAGCAAATGCCTGCTTGCTACAACTGCGTTGACGACTTTGATCATGGTAAGGAAACCAATAGCGTCATGTCGTGGATCAATGCGCAATCGACTGGAATGGACATCCTGCAACAAGTAGGAGATTTGAACAATCTCAGCAACATGCTTTCAAAGCAGTACCCTGTGTACGATGCTGCTTACGAGAAGGGCATGAGCCTGTCAAGGCAGCTAGGGTTTACCCCACAAGTGCTGTTGCAACCCGCCAACATGACAACGCCTACAGGATTACGAGTTACGAGCTTGCGGCCGAAGACTGAGCCATCATCCTTCAGCGAAGGCGAAGACGAAGCACAGAGCATTCCGGAGGGGTATGGCTACGACGGCTGGCAAGCTGAGGACGCCGAGGCTTCTCTATACAATAATAATGACGGCACAGCGGACGATTCGTCATCACCATTGCAAAGCTCCACTGGAGGCACCGAGTTGTCTTGCTTGAGTGGGAGCTTTTGTAGTGGCGACCATATGAATAACTTCAAGTACCGATTGCAGGACATTACTGCGCTAGCCGACTCTGGCCTTGGGACCGAAATCTTAGGCTGGTGTTGCTGACGCAAACAAGCGTTTCTCCAGTGTACTCATTGCATCCTATGCAAGAGTGAGGGTCTGGTGCAAGATAACCTCAGAAGGATCTTTCTCAAACTGTAAAGGAAAAAGGAAGGGTGGTCCTCCATACACTGATCCTCTTCTCTCATTGATGGGTATGCTGCAATCCTATACATAAAGCTGTGCAGACCATCTATATTGTACATTATCTACGGTGCGAGTTTGAAGATTGGTCAAGAGCTCGACGTGGTGGCGCGTCCACGATGTGGACTCCGAGGTGTCACCGACAGTAAGAAGGATGTCACTCCCAATCCGGATACACTTGTATATACTGATGTAATATAAGGTGTATTTTTTTGGTAGAAAAAAAAATCATGCACATATGTAATTCTTTTCATCAATGATTACACATTTAGGTGCACAGGATGATTAGCGGCAAGTTCACCACACAAAGAAAGGGCCGATGTGTGCCGCTGAGGATAGACTCCGCGATGATTCAGGTCTGTGAATTTAGACAGGTATTATAAGGGCAGGCGGAGTGCACAAGTCAGATCAAGAAATGTGATGGTGCATATTTTGGCATTGCTTTTTATTGGACATCAACAGAAATTGATTGGTTAAATTACCGCCGATATTGTAGACGCAGGATTTCTCTAGCAACCCGTGTTTAGGCTGACTATTTTTCATAATTTCAATTCTCCACCCCTTTTTCCCGGTTATGCTTCTATATTCCCTCCACCCCACACTAATACCTGTTTCATTTCACTGCTCTGGTGCATACCTGATTCCTACTGTTCAATTCGTCTTCCCATGTCGACAAGGTTTGCGCTTTGCGAGGAAATCCTTTTCATAAATCTCCACGATAAGTGAAACCCGTCGAACTCTGAAAAAAACAGCTTCTCAATCCCCTTTCCGTTAATACACACCCTAGCACTTGGATCACATAACAGCTACAGTATTGCTGTATATGTTAATTTTGGTAAATTCTTCGTACCTATCACCATCTTAAGCTTGGCATGACGCTCTGGTTCACAGATTTCTTTCTACATGAAAGCATCGCCAATTGTAGCCGAGATTAGAGCTGCAGAGATTCCTCAGATTTAGTGAGAAACTTGCGACAGCTCCACTCATGTGATGAATTTATGCAAAACACTGCTAGAGGTTGTAAAATTTGTTAACCGGCCATGACCCAGATCTGGTCCATGCATGGTTCTGTTCAAACAGCGGAATGATTGTTGAGAGGAGAATGATTGTAGAACGAAGTTATTGGCTTAAATTCTAGTTTGATTGAAGCAGATTTGTCGACAGTGTGGCAACCATCGTTCTTGGATTAGTTGGAGCTCCACTCGCTGAAGTAAAGTAGCTTTGCCATTCTACAGTGTTGCACAGTGCTTGGGATGTTACAGCTCTATTCATGTAATATGCCAGTACTTTATTTTAATTTTATATGTTGTTATTATGGACTTCGAAGCGATATGCACACCCTGTTTAATCTATTTCTGGATAAGTACTGGATGATGACAATCATTGAGATGATGCTGTCTATTTGCTGCTTCTACAAAACAGTCTGGAGCAGAATAAGTATCATTCTACAGCAATCTGACTTCAACTTCTTCGAGAAGAATTGAAAGTTTTGACATACTCTTGAATATGGAAATATGATGTGGGAAAATACGTGCAAGCAAATACAAAAGCAACTTGACTTTATAGATTCATTTTTGAGAGAGCCGGACCAGTAATGGATGTCAAAAAGAATATTGAGATCTAAAGAAGAGTTGACAACCCTCTTGAACAACACAGTTTTTATTTTTATTTTTATTTTTTTTCATAACCATTTGATTTTACATCCACTAAGAAATAGGCAGATAGGTACGATATCTTCTACTCTAAAGTTTGCTTTGGTAAGAGGTATTAAAGCCTTTGTAGTTTTGTTCTTTTGTTTTCCTCATCAATTAATATAACTAATGTATTTCAATTGTATTAAAATATTTTAAAAATAAATAAAAGAAGAAAATCTTTAAATTGCACAACATATTTATAAAGTCTTTAAAATAGTAGATCAATTAATTTCTAATGAACTAAACTTTGTCAAACGATTTAAAATGCTTGTTTGTAATATTGCTAAAATATTCCAATAAAAATTATTACATTATTTTATTTTTAGAATTTTAAAAATGTGTATTTTGAGATATAAGACTTGCTATCATTGTGTGTATGTATATAAATTAAAATTAAATATTAAAAGATTTAATACTGTATAAATTTCTTGTTAGAGGTTGACAAACATGTTTGGATACAAGATAGGTGATGTAACATAGAATATTTTTTTTCCTATCTGTAAACAGGTTTAGTAGTCAAACAATTCTAAAATGTATATATGATTTTTTCTTATGTAATAGTAAAGTGTTGACCAATTATTGAATTTGAAGGCTTAAGGTATCTGTTGCAAAATTTATATTTAATATTAGAAGATTCAATGCCATATAAAGTTCCATAGATATTGATTAAATTTAGAAAAATAAAATTAGTTGAGATATTCTCTGTAAATCAATATGCTTTGCTTGTTTGTACCAAAGATCTTTGGTTTAATATAACCTAATCTTACATAGATAGGTTATAGTTGTTTGTAACATGATTGTATCTAAAAAGGTTTAAATCTAAATTTTTCTATAAAAATTAATATAAAATTTTCAAAAAAATATTATGCTCAAAAAAATTTGCTAATAGTTTTTAGACCTTAAATTTTTTTATTTAGACCTTTAACTTTGTAGAATATTTTTTGAAGACTTAGTAATTTGATGCAATTTTTGAAACTATCTTGGTATTTCTTTAAAACTTTGAATTAAATTAGTTTTATTTTAAATGATAATAAATTATAAGTATGATATGGCATAAATGCCTTATGTATCCACCAAAATCTAAGGAAATATAGAGCCATTTCAAAATTTAATAGTATAGCTATAAGACTTCAAGATTGTTTAGTATTATAGACCAATTGATTTCTATTTGTTTATATTAAGTCTTAAAGACATAATAAAAATTGCATCAAGTTACTATTATATGTTTATATATATATATATATATATATATATATATATATATATTTATTATTGCATAAAAATGAATTTTTGGATTTTCTTAAAAAATAATAAAGTCATATGCATATTAACTAATAGCAAGGTAATCTTTGTTCTATGATGCAAAGAATCATTTTAATAATTAAAAATAAATTTAATAAAAATAACTCATCTTAAAAATATATATATATATTTAGATGTATAAAAAATAATTTAAAAGATAATAATAAGTAAAATACCTATACATATTATAATAGAGTTTTCTAAATTTAAAATAATAAATTTATTTTTTTAATATAAAAATTTGGAATTTTCATATAAATACAAAAATTACATATGTTAAGGTTTTTTTTTACTTAATTTTAAGAAAATTAATTTTATTATTTATCTTTTTATCTTTTATAATATTAGATATAATAGGTTTTTCAAAAAATAAATAAACATTAGGGATACAAATCTATACAAACTTATAAAAAAATTAACACACAAATAATTAAGAATAGAATAAATTTAAAAATATTTAATATGTATATATATATATATATATATAACTTCAGTGGCCAATGTTAAATAGTAAAAAACTACACAACTTTGAATCAAGAGTGAAGTACAATAAGGGCATGAATAAGAGTAAGAATGCCTTTAATCTTAACTTCATATTTGTGAGCCACAAAGAAGGCCATATGGAAGTTTCCAGAGACCACAGGGTTTGCATGACAAGTATCTAAGATGAATAATACTTTTATAGTAGCTTTTGAGAACCAAGAATTTTCAAGAAACATTTTTTAAGGCAACATGGTGCATCAAATGACACTTCTAGATTCAACTTGGATTTATATAATTATTTTAATGTACTTCAAAGAAGATTTTAACTGCTTGAAATATTTCTATTTATTTATGTTTATTTCTAATTACTAAAGCAACATAGATATTTGTAATCAAAAAAATTTCCTTATTTTTAAATTTTAAATTTTAAGAATTTATCTTCTTCATTTATAATATTTTAAAATATTTTATAAATTTGTAACAAGTTAGAATATCTTTGATTGTAAAGAAAAATACTTTAAAATAAGTAATTTATATTCATTTAATTATTTAATGATTTTTTTAAAAATTAGAATTTTTGTTGCATTTAGACTTGGAATTAAAACCACTACTTTAGCTATAGCTGCAACATTGATAAAAAAAAGTTATTTACTGGTCATATATCAAATGCAAGCCATTTTAGATGTTGAGTTCCAATTTATATTTTAGTTTTTTGCAAAAAAATAAATTCTTAAATACATTCTAAAATATTTTTATATTATTTTTAAACTATCTAAATTCAAATATTATAAGAGGTGAATAAGTCATTGACTAAAATAATACACCGATAATTTGTTTTAGCAACAACTAACCAATTAGATGCATTAACCAAGTATAAGTCTTTCATAAATCATTTTAAGTTTCCAAAAATAAACAATAAAGACATTATTTTACAAGAATTTTGAATTAATTTAACATGGTAATTTAGCAAAGCATTGTAAAGTGATAATCTAAAATACTTGTGACATAATAACGAAGGAGATTTAAATACAAAATTTCAAGTATAGATAATTTTTTTTTTTAAAACTTAAAAAATTCTTCTATCTTATAATTCTTTATTGTTATATTAGTTTTAAAAATTAAAGAAAAAAGAAATTTTAGTATGTTCAAAGGATAAAATTTTAAAAAAGTTTTTATAATGAAAAATAAAAAATATTGAATATGCAAAGAGCAAGTAAAGAATTTAGAAAGTAGTAATTTAGGTGTTCTAATTTATCATAGAATCTAAAGAATTTATGGAAGTTTTTAAAATCAAAATTTAATTATTATACAATTCATAAAAATATATTATTTAATTATAAAAGTGATAATATAAATAAAAATATTTTGTAAAAATTTATAATTTAAATTTTAATTTAAAAAAATTATAAGTAAAATATTATCTTATAAGTTTTTATAACAAAATTAAAAATACATTAAAAAAAATTTATTATCAATATTATTATGTACTAATAGAATTTTTTTAAAAAATTTATATCTTTTGGCACAAAGAGGTATTTGGTTGAAAATATATATATTATAATTTGGCCACCAATAAGAAAAATAATGTTTAAAATAGATTCTACAATATAATATATAATTAAGCTAAAAATGAGGATCATATAGTCACTTTATACACCTTGACATATAATTGATGAAATTAAACATACTCAAAAGTATTACTTTTAATATATATATATATATATATATATATTTACATACATACATAGCTTGATAAAGCCAATTTTGAGTTTAAAATCAAGATAAAGGAATTTAAAGTACTAATCATAATTTTGAAAAAAAATCATTAAAATTGAGATTAGAAAACTTTAATAGATAATCAAATCTAAAATATTATAAAATTAATGTGGCTCATTTTAATAGAGTTCATTTAAAAAGATAATGTATTTTGATATTTTTTATATTATCAAATTTGATGATTTTGTTATAAAATGAATTCACTACATTAAATAATTTGAAATAAAATATATGATAGAAATTGATATTTTAAAAATGATTGCAGACCAAAGTTTAAGTTTTTTTTTGAAATTTCTTAAATATCAATATTTTGATATA